CATGGAAAAATAACTAATAAATCTACAAGTGAGCAAGATGAATTCTTCTACTTGCTCCCACTGTATTCTTAATTTAGCCGCATGTTTCACATTTTGAGAATTCTAGAAAACTAGAGATGCTAATGCTTTTCAGGTCGATCCAAAATTTCAGAAAAAAATTAATTTTTTTTATTAAGCAAATTCATTTATTAAGCAATTTTTTTTGTTACAAATGTTTTTCCTTTGGTCCTATGGACAATTTTATTGTAATTATACAATATCAGAGTTTTTGTTCTGAGCTCTTTCTTTTTTCTTTGTTGATCATAACACATATATATGGATAACATGTCCAATTTATGTTCTTTTGATTGAAGTTTACTTATAACAAACTATTAGGATCTAATATTGTGGAAAAATAATATTAGCATTATAATTATAATTTGTTAATGAGTTTCTAGTTATCATACTGCAAAAAAAAAACAAAAAACCTGACTTCGCCTCTTGTTAGGAGTGAGTCTCCATATTAGATGGTGATGGGACATGCTCAGAGATTGATGGGGAGACGATACGTGTCTTTGATGTGGTAGATTTGGACCATCCATGAAGTGACACGTGTCCTCGGCGCAAGTCTTCTCAGAGTTCTTTGTGACTGACACGTGTCTTCGGCGTACATGACTCCTAAGACGTTGTTTAATCGACACGTGTCTTCGATGCCTATGCCCCCTAGGGCACTAGTTGTTTGACATGTCTCCTCGGCATTTGCATCCTTCTGAAGTACTCACAGTTTGACATATGTCCTCGGCATTTTTGGTCCCCTGAGGAACTCTCCACCTAACATGTGGTCTCAATGTTAAGTTCCCACTCCACCGAGGTATTGACAATTGTCCTGATGGTTAGCCCTTATCAAATGACTAAGTTCTTAAAGAAGATAAATAAGGAGTCAGGTAATGCAAGCATGCCAGCGATTAAGGTCAAGCAAACATCATCACTTAGATGTGGAGTGAACTGTCAATCATCGGTTCCTCTTTTCCAAGGCAGTTAGAGTGGCAGGAAAGACAGCTCAGTAGCCAATAATAAGGGTGTGTGAAGTACAAAGCATAGACGACATGACCTCTTGGAGGGCAATGGACAAAAGTGTCCTTGCGCATGCGCAACTACAATGAGGGCACATTAAATGACCCCCCTCAGAAGGATGAGACACTTTTATTCCTCAACAAGATCAGGAAAGCGAGCGTTAAATAATTGGAGATCCAAACATTAAATGCAGAAGCTTCTACCACGTGAAAAGAAAGGCTCACTACTTGAGGACTAAGCACCACTTATTATCTTCCAAATAAGTCAATGAGGAGCCTTCCCTCAAAGGGAACCAGCTATCTGCATTTATCGACTCCAGGGAGGTATAAGTAGCACTCATGAACAAAAGTCAAAAGGTATGCAAATCTCACCCAAGCAATAGAACAGTGTTTTTCCAACTCTTTTTCACGTATTGACTTGATCGTCGGAAGGGTCACGCCAGAGAACACTCTGGCGCCCTTCTAACCTTTCTCTTTGAGCGACAGGACTTAGTTCGATAACTCACAAATGAGCAGATAGTTTTTAAAGAGTTTCATCACCATTCATTACAACTTTTTAATGTTCATTCGTTGTGAAACTTTTGATTTTTAAGATAACCTCAAGTTTATTAAGTAAGAGATCTGTTGATTTATTTATTATGCAAGAATCACCGCGCACATATGGAATTCACTAGTCATATAATAATTATAATCTATAATGTCGCCAAATTAAGTTTTTTAAATGAATACAAATAGTATTAAGGTAAAATTAGACAGCATGTTGTCCAAGGGCTAAGTGGCTCCAACTAGACACAACAAATTGTTTACAATCCATCACCAAAAGAAAAAGAACTAACACCTCGAACTACCAGGTACAACTTCGCCTCAATGTTAGATTATGTGAAGAATAATATTATACATATTCCACCGGTTGATAAACTTTTCATGAGGGATAAGTTAGGAGTTCGAACATCGCATAAAACATAATTTTTTAGAGCCACCACTCATAGATTTACCCTCTTGTCCGAAAAAGTGGCATTGTAAAAAGTCCAACATTAGTCCGGTATGTAAACGGAGTAATACTGTAGTGATTTACTGGAATAATTAGACTATCAAAATTAAAAAAAAAAAATTATGCATACTCTAATAGGTTTACCAATATTATTTTTACTAAATGAGTTGGCAGGTTTCATATTCTATCAAAAACTATTCTGAGAAGCAAATTATAGGGCCCAAGATTGATTTGAGTCTATCTACCCATTTGGTAAAAGTAATGTTATTAAATTTGTCATAATGCATAGTAAGCCTTGTCTTGAGACCACCTATGGAAAAATGATAAAAACCAGTAATTAACTTCGAAGGGTAGTCCAAATGTTAATAGTAACGAGTTGTAAATATAGATAAATTGAGTTTAAATTTTGATAATTTTTTGAGGCTAGGTCATGAGAAATAAATCTGTCATAATAACTCTAATCCCGGCACAAATGATCAACATTTGACCAAACCAAAAAACAATGTGATTAATCGAAGTACAAGTAATTGATCCGGCTAACCATTGAACCAAAAACAGAGAGTTAAGAGCATTATATTTAAATGTTGCTGGCAGCCATGAGTTTTATTTACTAAATCCCGTTACAGGTAGGAAAAATTATATTTTGTATCCTAAAAAATGTAAAAAAAATTATTTTATATCTTAAAAGATTAGATTTTATATATTACATCTTCAATGTAAAAAGAGTTACAATATAATCATTCGGTTAGCTTTTGTTACTTATTCTGTCAAAAATCACCCTATTGATGTCAACAGAATGAGTAAAAAAAACTAATGGAAGGACCAAATTGAAACAATTTTAATAAATTCATAGTATAATAATAAGAAATTTAACATTTGAGAGTGTAAAGTAAGAATTTATAAATCTTTTAGGGTACAAAGTACAATTCTTCCATTCATGTATTGTGCTATATATAAGGAAGTGGAGGTTTGTCTTCTAGTGTTTTTTGTCTCTCAGTGTCAAGTTCCAACTTCCTAATTGATCACTTTCTCATGCAAAGAATGATTAATCATCCTTCTAAGTGTGACTCTAGTCAATTATAAACTAAAAGAATTCAGCAATATTAAAACTTTTTGCATAACCAGTGCGTGGATATGACTGTTAAATGAATCAAGTTGGACAAGCTCGAGTTGGTACCAGCTCTATCAATGTCATTCGTAGCGTAGTTGAAATAAACTAAACATGATCGATCTCTTAATCTTGTTTAGTTTTCAAGCACAATTCGAGTAATGTTCTTCTCGGTTTCATATGTTTAAATGCGATTCGTTTATTGTATAACTGAGTATTTTTTTTTATGATGCAATTAGTTCAATGGATAAGATGTCAAAATTCTAATAAATAGATTTGTATGCTTCAATCTGAATGAACTGCCCCAAATTAATCAATAGCCCGGATTTGAGATCGGATTCAAGCTCTACATAGAAAAAACGTGTCGAGCCAAACCATAGTGGAGAGGATATGATTTAGAAATTGGGTCGACCTCGAAACAAAAACAAAAATCTAAGATTGACAATCAAGTTCAAGTTTGTGACAAGTAATTTGATTTGAGATTGAACATGGATCAATCCAACATCAATAATCCACCTTGATTCAATGTCGAGCAAATTGAGTCAAATTGAGCATACTAAAACTCATATGTAACACCAACATATGCCCTTTATTTATAATTTAGGCACAAAATACTAACTGCCGTTTATTTACTTGTTTTCAAATTCTGTTTGTAATGATAAATTATTGATATCACATAAATAAAGTTTGGAATAGTCTACGGTACTGGAAAAAAAATTCTGCACCACATTGCCGTTTATAACTTTTGTAAATATTTTTACAATTTTTATGGGCGTTTTTTATCACTTTTGTGGTAAATGTTAGGATTAATTGTAAAAATAATTACCACAAAAATTATAAAAATATCCATAAAAGTTATAAATTTCTTTGTTATAAAATGACCAGTAAAAATTATAGAAATATTCATTAAATTTTAAAAAAAAAATTAATTGCCTATTTGATTTGGTGAAAAAGTGGTGGATGAAAAATAGTAAATGAAAAATTGGGATGAAAAATATATCCTTTCCACCCACTATTTTTAATCTTCCAAAAAATGGGCGGAAAAAATAACTGGTTTAACAGTTCTTTGAAATTTACCATTTTAATCATTTAAAGTTACAGATTTTAGAGTGTACGACCCACTTTTTTATAGTCATTTTCTATGATCCACTAAAGTTACAAAAAATATCTCCCATATAAAAGGGTAATTATGGTAATTTTTTTATTCATTTATCTTCTTATACCACATAAAATAGTGAAAAATTTACTCTTCCTATTTTTCCATGTTTTATATCAAACAAAAGGAAAACATAAATAAATTTTTTTCTTTGAAATATAAAAAATATATACCTTATAATTTCTTTCTCTCTTTTTTTTTTTTTTTTCCATTCTTCATAACAAACAAAGCATAATTTAAAAACCTTAAGATGCCATAAGTCCAGCTTAGAAGAAGTTGAAGTGTCTTTTTCTGTCCTACTCTAAACTAGATAATGACCTAACCATCAAGGCTTCAAAAAAGACCCACGTTTGGACCATTTGGTCACACATTTCTGACCTTTCAGCATATAATCCCCACCAAATGAAAAAGAAAGGTTAGTTAGTTAATAGCTGTCACCATTTTTAAAGCTGGGCCCACATACCATATGCAATTATGATCATACAATAGAGGTGCTGCTGGTCCCACATGAACAGTGCTTCACCACTGTACCAAATGTACACAGTACGTTATCATTTTTGGTCAAATTTATCACTTTTTAAATTGAAATTTATCTATGGTTTGAAAAACTAGGAATTGGCTTTCTTGGAATTAATTAAATTTATTTAAGAAATAATCAATAAATTTAAAAAATAATAAAAAAAAGGGTGTAAATTCAAACAGTAAAAGTACTATGATTGCTTCAAATTTCTTTCTTTTTTTTTGGGATTGAAGTGAAGAATTGAACGAAAATGGCTGATTATTAATGAACTGATCTGGCAAGTGCGGCATTACCAACATGTAAGCAAAATACCCCCAATAAGGGCGGATTTGAACAGAAAAGTATAACCCCAATATGACCCCAAACTTTTGCTGAAATTAAAAACAAACCCACCTAACATTAAAACATCTTTCTTCACCATTCAGGCTCATTTCCCTCACCATCCGAGCTTTTACATGGCCACCGACATTGCTACGGCGCAGAATCAAATTACAGAAATGCCCATCATGATGTACACAATGATGAAGAAGGGCAATATTTGATCCAAAGTTTCATCACCATGAGCAGTGGTAAATCTATATCCAAAGATACATAAACAACCCCTTGCCTCCCACTTTTTTTAAATTTTTCTGAAAAAACCCCCCAAACTTAACAAATTCTTTGAAAAAACCCCTGTAAATCAGGAAAATAAACTTACTTTCCACTGCCTCCACCAATCATGTCCTTGGACCTGATGATGGAGTCGAGCCTCTGTAACTTCAACTGTTGCTTGAACTTATTGATGAAATCACCAGCTTTGGCATCAACCTCTTCGTCCCAATCGGTCACTCTAGCATTCGTCTCCCTCACAGTCGCCGGCCGACGAGACTCCACAATATCCTCTTCCTCAGAATGCCCAAAATCTGACTTCAAACTCGCTGACTTCCTCATCATCGTCGGCACCTTCGCGGGCACCTCGCTGGACGCTGGTTTGGTGCCAGACTTGTCACTGCTAAAGTGACGGTCTGTAAAATGACTGTACACCTCATCCAGGGTTTGTACCTCTTCATGCCCTTCTTCTTCTTCTTCAGATTCATCATGGTTTTGTTGAAGATTGTATTTGATGTCTGATTTCGGGGTCTCTTCTTCAAGAGTTTGTTGAAAAACGTACTGGGTCTGTATTTCTTCGGATCTTTGTTGATGGAGTTGTTCGAAAATATATTGGGATTGTGCTTCTTCTAGGGTCTGTTGTTCATGTTCTTGCGGAAAAACGTACTGGGTCTGTGTTTCTTGGGTTCTTTGTTGATGGGTTTGTTCGAAAATGTATTGGGATTGAGCTTCTTCTGGGGTTTGTTGTTCATGGATTTGGGCAAAAACATACTGGGTATGAGATTCTAGGGTTTGTTGAAGAGGGAAATGGGTGTCTGAATCTGTGTTTTCCTTGTAGTGGTTGGCGATGGAGGGTGATGGGTGGGGTTCTTGGGATTTGTAGCTGTAGAGGTTGATGGACTTGAGACGTTGAAGAACAGAGGGTGATTTAGCGATTTTGGGCTGTTGTGAGTCGTCTTGAGCTTGCTGTGGTTGTTGGGGCCGTCTCTGATTTGCTAAGCTTGAGGTAATGACGATGGTGCCTATCATCACATTGAGGAGGACAAAGAACACATTTGGTGTGAACCAGCTGTTCATTGAAGCCCAGATCGATGGTGTAGATACAGATGCAAACTCCCCAAACATTGTTATTTGGAGAGAGAATGTGTCTGAGAGAGAGAGAGAGAGAGAATGGGTGGAGTGAGGAAGGTGGTCTGCAGAGTTGGAGAGAGAAAAGTAGGAGAGAAAGGCAGCTGGTGGTGGTGGGATTAATATGTTAATCTGTATGCGGATATTTTTTATGTGTTAATGGCACTTTGACCTGGAAAAGTTTTAAAATTATAATTTTGTCCCTTCAAGAAATAAAAAAGTTTTATCACACTATAAACTTTTCAAAATGAAAACAGTATTTTGTTATGTCTAAACTATATTTGAGTTATTGTGATATTTTCAACCGATTATCTGAATTCAAATTCTAATTTAATATATTTCAACATTTTCTTCCTTTGCCCTTTTGGCAAGGGCATTATAGTTTACCAGCTGGGGACTGTAGAAAAACTCCTTTCACTACTTCACAGGATGCATAACATCTTTAATCCAACAATTCTCTTTGACACCTCCAATAGAATCAAAGAATCCCTAGACCTGTGTGCTGCGATCCTTGCCATTGTCATATGGAAATTGAGGAACAAACTCCAATTCAATCAGACACATATCTCTTTACATGAGATGCAGCAAGAAATCATTATGACGTACATGGAATTCAAGGAAACCAAATTTCAACCTAAGCAATCCAGCTATTGGAGCAACCATACACAAAAGCAACATCAAATCAACAGAATTCTCCCTAAAATGAGGACTCAAAATAAATTACAATGGGAAGCTAGATAGAGTTGACATCCCATATACACTCAGAAGAAGAGTTAATCTAGGCAATAACCCTGAAGGCACGGTTCAACTTAAATGATTTTGAGAAGGATGTTGATGGTTGTTTGATAAATCTATTTGAGACCGTATGATAGACTTATCAAAGTATGTCATGTTTATATTATAGATTTTTTTTTGTATCTCCAATCTTCAAAACAAAAAAATATATATAAAAATTTAAGATGTTATTAAATTTTTATTGAGGAAATTGATTTAAAATTTAGATATGATTCATTAATTGATTTATTTGAATGGAATATTCAATTTTTTTACGGATTTAGATATTAACTTTCAAAATAAAATATGTAAAATGTTCGGTCAGATTCAAATTGTAATTTTTATTAGATTTCGATTCACATCCGGTAGATTGTGAACTAAATTCACCCATTGATAGGCTAACACATGTACCACATATTATTAACAGATGAAAATTTTGATGATGTTGACTAATTGGGGGTACATTATGATTATTCAAATAATTTTAGGGTGTAATAAAAATTGTTTTGATGTTTTAAGGAGAAAAGTCTAAATTTTTAAAAAATCTCATGTGGTAAAATGCAATTTCACTCTATTCTAAAACTTTTACTGTTTAGTTTAAGTAGTATCTTTGTCAGGTTCTGAATGGGACACGTCACACAAGTGTCAATGCGATGATGGAGGACAACAAGAGCATGTGAGGAAATGGACAAAAGCGAAGGAGTGGACAAGGAGAGTTTGTAAATTGAGGTGAAATCAATTATAATATATTTTCTTTCTTTTTTTTTAACGAATTATCTGTCGTGGAATTTTTTATTTATTAATGATAAATTTGTTAAAAATAATTATATTATATATATATTAGAAAGTATCTTCAGGTAATTGGATTTGAGATTATTTTGGAATTAATAAAAGGGGGTGGTGATGCCGACGACACAGCAGTACAACGCATAAAAAGGAAGAAGACGACGCCGTTCTGGCTTCTGTTTTGTACACTTTCTGGTTCTGTACCTGATCACTGAACATAAAAAAAGCTGATTTCAAGATTTTTAGCAGGAGTTTTGCAGGTGTATAAATGGGCATAATTATTAGTAACTAATTGGCTGTCTTGCTTGGAAACATGGAGTCTAAGGCATCCCAAATCTTTAGACTTACCTAAAATGGAGTCGAATATGGTTCTGCACAAAAAAAAATTGATATCGCATCAATAAATTTTGTGAACTCAGGTACAAGTTTGTAATTTTTTTTATAATAATTTTTTTTACAATTTTTAGGTTCATATTAAAACTTTTATAGTTTAAATTATAAGTTTTGTAAGTCTTTTGAGATTTGACCAGTTCAAATTTGGACTCAGTTCATGGATTAAGTTCAAACCGTCAAAATACATGTTAAACTTAGTTTATGGTCTCAGTTCGATCCAAGATTCAAAAGTTCAAATAAAGTCAACACACGTAAGAGAACAATTATTAAAATAATTATTATTCGAAGATAGTGTATATCCCTAATTGTAACTATCATTCCTGATAAATTAATAGTCTTACTTTCACGTCACCGCCATAGCTAAGATTTTATGCCTATAAATTGTAAACCCCCTACACATGGGGGGGCAGAGAACACACATCTAACCTTGAGTGTACTCTTACTTTGTCTCTCTTTCTAATTACCTTGTACTTTCTTATTAATAAAGTTCTTCGGACATCATTGTTGCATTCAGTAATTAGGTCACCCAGACCCAACCACTCAATCTTTATATCTTATTATTAATTATTTTACTACATACACTCAATTGATTTGATTGTACCAAAAGTCACTTTTGTGCATCATCAAGATCGATTCTAAAAAATTTAGGTCCTATTACAAGTAATCTCAAAAGTTTTACATGATCTCAAAAAATTATAAATGGTATTCAAATGTTGTAAATAATTCTCAAAAGTTATAGATGACTTTTAAAAATTATAAAAATACATAACTAAACTTGTTATAACGATATGGTACAAAAAATAAAAATTGGCACTATAAACTTCTCCACCTAAAATATATATAATGGATAAACTTGTGAAAATATACATAAGAAATGATCAAATAAAGTTGAATTTTCGGATAAAATCGACTTTGAAGAAGTGATGTAAGCCGTGACATTAAAACTGTAAATAGTAAAAGATATACAATAATAATGACGTATGCGATAACGTTAATATAAATTATTAAAGTTTAGGTTGTACTAAAATTCAAATTTCAAGTTCTGTCTCTATAGATGAGGTATAGACCCAGTCTGTTGGGTACCCTCGAATGACCTTCAAATGACCCTCAAATCCTTTCTTTAGACTTTTCTCACACCTCCCTAGACTTTTCTCACACCTCCCTACGTGTACATATTCTCCCACATTTTTCTAATACACCCACCTACCTCCTTTGTCCATAGTTTTCATTTCTCTTATAAATATTCTTCATCTCCTTCCTATTACAATCATCTCTTTTGTATAATATATATATACTAGCAATACCCCGTGATTGAAAGTCATTGAATATTAAACTATAACACTAAGCGTGTATTAGAGAGTGTGTGTACAGCTGAAGTGTATATATAATGTGTGAGTGTGTATTTGAGTATGTGTAATTATGTATTGTGGAGTATTTGTGTTGAGTTTGTGAAATTTAGGAGGGAAAGTATGTGATGGGTGTGTGAAATTTGGGGGAAAAAATATACTTCCCATAAGTTCAAACATCTAGTTATCTTATATATATATATATTGTTGTAGGTAGATGATTAACTTGAAAGAGTAGCTCAACAGTGTGAGGTTAGATTTAGATGAACTGCAGACCTGTACTATTTAGGGTTTACTCTCTCAGTTACCTTGCCTTGGAAAAGTTTCTCGTTACAAAAAAAAAATAAAAAATGATGAATGATTAAATTAAAATATTTATTATTGTTAAAATAAAAGTGATTGCTAAAAAATTAAATATAAATAGAAGAATTATTGTGGCTAAAAGATTAAAATGTAAATAATAAAATTAAATGTTAGATATGGATACTTTGAGTCTTCTCTAAGTAAGAAACTTAAGAAGTTTAAATAGGACTAATATAGATCCTCTTGGATTCATCATGTTAACATTCATTTAATTTAGGAAATGATTACGATCCGTAGCAAAAATAATTATCATTGAGGGTCAAATTAAATATTTTAAAAGAGACATTATAATTATTTATAATCAATCGTAGTATTATGATTGATGATAAAATATATTTTAAATATATGACTATTGAAAAACTAACGGTTGGGTTGGCATGCTAGAGGGACCCACCCACCACTCAGGCGAGGACCAGTTGTGTGTACTACGTAAATTTTAGAAACTTGTATCTCCTCCACTGTTGAGTATGTGTGTGAGACTTAAAGTTTCACTTAATTTAATTACAAGATAGCACTAAAAACTTAATAATACAAAAAATGATATAAAATTCAGTATATATGATATGGTGTACATAAAAATAATACAATCTAAATATAATATAAGAGTAATCTTACATTGACTAAATTTTGGGACTAAATATAGAGTCTAAATACATGACAGCTGACTTGGACTTTTTTATTTAGTGTCATGTCATTTGAACTCCGATAAAGATTTTAAATAATATACTGCTAAGACATTTGATTCTAAATTTAGTCTCAAAATTGAATCAGCATAACATTACTGATAATATAAATTTGATATTTGATTTGATAGGCTTATCATCACAGTAGACTCTCATGCTCATATACTGTCTCAAACAGAGGGTCAAACATTGAGAGACCCAACAGCCTTTCACCACTTCTATAAGGGTTTAATTTGATAAAACAAGAAGTTCCACTTGAGAGAAGTTCCACTTGAGAGAAGCCACTATTGTGGTCTCACTTTTTCAATTGTGGTCTCACTTTTTCAATTCAATCAAAGTTCCACTTGAGAGAAGCCCATTGAGGAGTCGCCCATGGTATTTTGAGATTAAAATAATAATACTAAATGAGATATTTTTAAAATTTTTAATATTAATTTTTTTAAAAAATTTTTTTTTTTTAATTTATTATGTGAGAGAGACACATAAGAAGGACATGTTAGTGTTGTTAAGAAAAATATTTTAATTTTAATTTTTTTTATATATTTTTTTTACTTATTTTTACACAGAGAGAGTGAATAGGGATAAATATGAGTTGACTTTAAATACTTTTTATTTTGTCAACTTATAATATTTAAATTTATAATGTTATGGATTAAATCATGAACTCAAATTATTATAATAAAAATTTTAATTATATTTAATTTTTGGGGGCCTCTTTTTAGGATTTAAAATTTAACGAATTAAATTTTTTTTTTTTTAATAATGTATTTAAAAATGATAAGACTTTCCAAAAATTTAAGACCTAAAACCCAAGTTTTTTTTTTTGTTATAATGTTGAGCCGCCCATAGGGCATTGTCATGCATGGCCTAGGCTTGTGACTGGGACATGCACGGTAGTGCTGGCCCATTTGTTATAGCTTGAGAGTAGGGTTGGCAATCAATTATATGTCGCGTAAATTTCACTCTATATCTAGTACATTTACAATCATATATAATTTTTTTTTGGTGTATTTTTGTCAAGTTCATAGCATATATAAGTCATGTTTAGAGTGTTTTTGGTCGTGTCTAGGTTTTTATTGGCTTATTTATATGGTGAATTTAAGGGGTCATTTGTCTAGATTTTATGTTGACTGTTTGTTTTTTATTAGTTTAACGGTCAAGAATCTCTGGACCATCTCATGCTTATCTTGACTAATTCTTATTTAGTCTAGTCAAAAGTAGGTTATTTATGCTGAAATTAGAATATTCATGAAAAATAATTTTTTCATTACTTAATTTTAAAGAGTTGTTAAAATTTAAATTTTAGACGTCTAAATTTATAGCTCGTTTATATTATCGTTTGAGCTATATAGATACCCACTCATTCATTCGAGCCCTATTTTTGCTTTCCAAGCATGAGTTAAACAGATCAATCTTAAGTTTATCCAATTCAACCTTTTTTGGTGAAGGAAAAGTTTACAATCAAGCCCCTATAGTTTATCATTTAATCACTTAATTTTTTTGACATTTAAAATATTATATTTAAGCCTTTTAAAGCTTGTATGTGCATTACGCTTGGACTTATGCCCGTTAAATGTCTGTTAGTATATTTATTAATAAATTATACATAAATTACTAAAATTTATAGATGTATAACACTTAAACTTTCTCAAATTTAAAATATTATACTTAGACCCTTTATTAGTTACAAATTTAACGCAATCTATTAAACAATCAAATTACCTCAATTAAAAATATAAGATATTGTGTCAATTACAATTTGATATCTTATTTTTTTTTTATTATAATAGAAAATATAATTGTATACAAATAAATATTGAATTGAATTTTATGATATATTTATATTGATTACTATTTTTTCTTCAAAAAATTAGGATTTTATTTGATTTTTATATTAATGGATGATATAATAGAACATGTAAGTTGGTTAGACTTATTTCATACATTCGTACTTGAAAAACGAAAAAATTTACCCGAGATAAAAATTCATTTAGTTCAAGTTCAAACTGACGTAGAGGTCGTCCAAGTATTGGTTTCAACAATACTAATTATGATTTTTAAGAAAAATTTAATTTTTATTTTTAATTTTATTTCAATAAATGACATAATAAAATATGAATTTTAATTATAAATTTTAAAATATTCGATATTTAGCCTTTAATTGGAGTATTTTTTGTCTAAATGTAATATTTTAAACTTAAGAGGTATAAATATTACATGCTTGAAATTTTAGAACTCTGGATGTTATTTACTAACAGATATAACAAACATTAATTGCAAGGGAATATGTAATGCACTTGTACAAACCTTAGACTGTTTTATGTAATATTTTAAAAATAAAGGGTTTAAGTGATTAAGTGATTAAAATTTAAAGGATTTAAATGTAATTTTGCATGTATTAAATATTTTTATCCCGCTGTTCTGTGTTCTGGAGAGAGAGTGTCGACACAATATCGTTAATCCTCTAACCAAAAGTGCCACCTGGTACAAAGTTCCAACGACTCAACCCGCCTCACCTCTTCAAAAATGTCGTCATTTTTGTTCATTAAGCACCTTCGCCGTCTCTCTCTTTGATTACAAGAACATCACTACAAGCCCCGGACTGATCAATCGTGCCCACTTTGCTCAGAATAAGAGCATATCGTCATACCATCTCTCACTATATAGAGATTCGTGCGTCTTAATTCCCGAAAGCTCCACACCCATGTCAGTCATTGAGGTTCTCTCTCCCTCCCTCTCTCTCTCTCTCTCTCCCCCTCTCTCCCCTGTACTTTCGCGTACACTTCCTTTCTGAAGTATTCTCTCTCCAAAAAAGAATTGATTATTGAAATTTCTATTTCTCAGGATCTATTGCCATTGCTTTGCTTTCAGCTAATCAGAGAGAAGGCTCGAATTTTCTCAGGTAAATTACCAAAAACCAGTTCTTAATTTCCGAAAATTTTGAGGAAGCAGGAACTAAATATGTTCTGGGATTTGGTTTTCGATGTTTTGATCACCTAATGACGAAGGCGGCCTCATTTAGCCGATCCAAGTCATTGAAATGTAAGGTTTGATTTAGTTTGATTTGGTTTACCAACAATTTACTCTAATTAAGCCAAACCAATTTCCTAGAAGCTTAACTGAGTGGTTATTTTCGTTTTCTAATTTATCTACTTTTGATTACCAAATCAGCGTAGATATGGTTCAAAAAAAAACATCAGCGTAGATAATTAGATTAGTTAGTTTACTCACTCCCACTAAAAGGATTTCGCCTGATAAATTCATCTGCTATACATAGTTTTGTTCTTTTAAAAGCAGGATTTTTTTTCCTTGAATTGATTTTGTATTCGGTCTTGAAATATGGAGTCTTGTTGCTTGGCGTCAAAAATGATCTAATTTTGCAAGATTTGTCCCTCTTTTCTCAAACATTTTCGCATTATTGAGAGTGGAACATATTCCATTGCATTAAAGATTTCATATGAATTGACTGGTTTTGGAACCATTCTCAATTTGGGTTTGTTGTTTGTGAGAAAATATTCAATGCAACGGTGATACATGTTACCAATGCTTATGTGGTATCACCAATTAATAATAAAATATCAAGTGGATAAGGTGAACTTCAGTCGGGTAGTTATTGGTTTACATGAAAGAATAGTGAGTAGATATTTGATGGTTGGTTATTAATTTTTGTGATATTCATTTGTTTATTTGTTGTGATGTTATTGGTTTATGATACTACGTCATGGTCATGTGGTATCACCATTGTAATGTATATTTTTTCGATGTTTGGGTGGCAAAGAGTCGTTTTCATAAGATCCCTAGTTTTTGGCTTCTTTAAATGAAAAAGGGTTGTCTTTCTTCTAATAACTTATGCAAGCGCCTTTTGGATAATTCTAATAATTGGTCTTCTTTTGCTTTGGCTCAAGAACAGGCCACGTTCATAATTTAGACAAGTTGATTGCATTTTGGAGGCTTCTGATAATTAATCTCTTTTTTTTTTTTTCTGCTTTGGCTTAAAAACAGGCTATATTTTTCATTTTCTCACCAGCCAAACAGTCTGCTTAGGTAACGTTGTCATCTTTTTAAATTATAATGCTCGGTAGTTCTTTTTAAATCTGGATTCCTTTGATTTTGATTGTGCAAAAAGACTTTTTTTGCAGAACCTTTCTCAATCCATGTCCACCACCACTTGCCTTGGCTACAATGCCAAGCTAGATACATGCCGAGATAACTCAGTTGCACTCATTTTTAAAATAGTGGCCATTGGTGCTATACTCGTAGCCGGAGTGTGTGGCATCGCCATCCCACTAGTTGGCAAGAAACGTAATTTCCTCCGAACAGACTCAAACATCTTTGTTGCTGCCAAAGCCTTTGCAGCGGGCGTCATACTGGCTACAGGATTCGTTCACATGTTACCACATGCCACATCGTCTCTCACTGACTCGTGTTTGACTGTCCCCTGGTCCAAATTCCCATTTTCCGGTTTCATTGCTATGATGGCTGCATTGGCTACATTGATGATTGACTTTGTAGCTACTCAGTACTATGAGAGAAAACATGATACACAGAATCAAATTGCCCGAGTTGACACATTGGACTCAGCATTGGAGTCGGGCATTGTTCCTGTGATGGAGCCAAACGAGAGGAATGAGACAATGTTTGGGGAAGAAGAAGGTGGTGCAATGCATATTGTGGGTATGCATGCGCATGCAGCGCATCATAGACATAGCCACCCGAATGAGCAGGGGGCATGTGCGAGGCACGTGAGAGAGGATTCCCACGGGCACTCGCACTCACACTCGCACGGGTTTGGGGGTGGCGACGAGGAGGGTGGTGTGAGGCATGTTGTTGTTTCACAGGTAATTTCAGACGCTTGTCATTTAAGGCATTAGTGCCATTTACAAAGCTTTTGAAGTACTGCTTGGTTGATTAATACATGCAGAAGTGTGTTGTTCTAGCCTTTATGGTGAATGGAAGTCCTACACAAGAACTCATGCTCATGCCTTTCTATTATTGCATTTGGACCTTTGAGTTACAGGCTTTGCTTCTAGTTTAATGAAGTGAAGAAAGCTACTTCATTTGATCATTTCCAACCTAACTATGCGAACTATTAGTATTATTTAGTTTGAGAGAAGTTTAGAATGTCCATACATTTCAGATTTAGGATTGGCGGGTAAGTTTCAAAACCATTTACATTGAGCTACATTGCAAAAGGAATGATCATGTTCGATGCTAACCTATTTTTATAAACTTGGTAATTTGTCTAGATGGTTGTTTTATTTTTTGAAATAAGTTCCTTTTGTGATTTTATGGTGCTTAATCCGTGGAAATGTATGGTCTAGTGCGTTTCTGGTGTTCTTTTGATGCCTTAACAATGACATGAAAAATGCATGTAGCCATGTGGAGATCTGTTTTGAACTTTGAACAATATCTATTGTCACTAATCACAGTTGTCTTCTGGTTGCCTGACTTGCTTGATGGGCAGTGGTGTCTATTCTGGAGATAGGTGGGGAGAGTAGAGGTGACAGCATTCTCTAACTAAATGATTTCTTTCTCATACAGCCAAATTGTGTAGCCTTGTTGAGCTCCAATTTTGTTTCATACATCAAAAATAATAATAATAATAAATAAATAATAATTTTGCAGATTGTTTATTCTCTGGAATATTGCCGCTTTCATAATGTGTTCTTTGTGCTACGCATAGTAGAATGACTCATAAAGTGGCCTCCACTCAAATGAAGTCGCAATGTTTTTGTTGACATTAGGTTGCAATTTTCTGCTTTTAGCCAAACGGATCACTGGTGTGAAATTTAATTTGGTCGGAAGCAAGAAAATGTGATGATCCTTTCTTTTCTTGTTTACCTTCATACAGTGACTCCAAGTGATCATAACCACCCTTTCAATGTTACATCAAGTACTAGGTTGTTTTGTAGTCTCTGTTTATGGCATCGTCATTGTTAATTGACAGGATCTGCCTTGGTTGTAGTGCAGTTTTTATTGATTATTAGGTGTTTTTGCTGCTACTAGATTGCACTCTGGATTTCTGACCAGTTTTCGGGTCTAGTTCTCATATAATGACTGAAATGCTGGCTCAAATTGATTATTCTTTCCTTTTCTACAGGTTTTGGAACTTGGAATCGTCTCACACTCGGTCATCATTGGACTTTCACTAGGAGTTTCGCAGAGCCCATGTACCATAAGACCCTTGATTGCAGCATTATCGTTCCATCAATTCTTCGAAGGGTTTGCACTTGGAGGTTGCATCTCCCAGGCCCAATTCGGGACCCTACATGCCACGATAATGGCATGTTTTTTTGCTGTTACCGCTCCAGTTGGTATCGCCATTGGGATTGGCATTTCTTCATTTTACAACCCAAATAGCCCGAGAGCGTTAGTTATCGAAGGCGTCTTCGACTCTGTATCTGCTGGTATTCTAGTCTACATGGCTTTGGTGGATCTAATTGCTGCTGATTTCATGAGTAAGAGAATGAGCTGCAATGTGAGGCTTCAAGTAGTCTCTTATATCACGCTGTTCCTTGGGGCTGGATTGATGTCTTCTCTTGCAGTCTGGGTTTGATCATGTAAACACTTTTTTTTTGGTTCAGCAATCAAGAGGTGTCCGAGTCAACTTGTGCGCACCTCGACTAATCTCCTAGACGGTCCAATCAAAGGTAGACAATTCACGCTAGGACTAAGGTATTTATGAGGGATAAATTCCTTATGACTTAGTTCCATGATGTTGTTAAAATTTGAACTCATGACGTTGTTGAAATTATGTAATTTTCCTTTTTCTTCCCTCATTTTCATCGGCTAGTGCAAGAAATCATCACTTCTTAGAGATTGAGGTTGATTGTGGGCAAAAAATATTGCTTTTGTTTATGCCCAGCAATGATATGAATCTCTAGGTTATTAGTATTGAAAGTTGTTTGGACATTCTTTGGTGGTCATATTGAAAAATAAAAAAATCACCAAACAACTCAATCGTAGCAAAAATTGCACAATTTTATAGTGTGATGCCATTACTATGTTCCCCAAATCCCTTAAAATCCTCAACAAACATGGAAGGAGAGGACAAAAGAGTGACCCAACTTAAACTATCACTTAAACAACTTGTACAAATAGATCAAAGCAATAGGGTAATGCAAAAATAAAAACAGTCGAACGATAAATAACATAATTGCGAAGAAAGAATTACAAGTTAGATGTCTTCTCTTTTGAAGCATATTATTAATATTAATCTTGCCATGTTTAATAATCCAAACACAAATCTTAGCCTTGCTAGGCACTTTAGCATTTCATATCCTCAATGAAAGTAGATAATTTCAGCAAGAAGGATTCAATCAAAGACTCATAGAAGGACTTATATGAAAAAACACCCAAGAGATCAAGCAATCGCCTTCTTTTATTTAAAAGATCGATTCTTTAGATCCTTCTTTTTTTCAAATGGAACGAACAAAATATATCCACTTGTTTCAATTTGAATTATCCAGAGAATGTTTTATATAGATATCAAATCTATCTAAAAAATGGACAATCAAACATATTTCTTGATTCAATAGAAGTCTAAAGAAAGTCTCAACTAAAGATTATCTAAAGACTCGTGGTTATTATGGAATCCATTGGACATGGAAATGAGTGAAACTCAAAATTCCAAGAAGAAAATACTCGTGAACTCATTTAAATCATAGAAATAATAGAAATATTAAGAACCCAAGCTAACTAGTAAAAACAAAGAAACAAGAAATATAATGAATACTGTCTTAATTGAAATTCTCTTAAATTGAATTCTCTCCTTGTTTCTCACAACAACATAACACCTAGAGAAAACCTGAGTAATCACTAATAAAAGAATTTTCATAGACATCAAAAACTTCTCTTTTCCATCCCATTAGTATCCCCTCCATAGATAACCAAACACCATAGTGAATCTTGTTCCAAAGAAAATCTCGATGGTCATATCCCAACTAAAGTCGCACTCCTTTAGTCCTATATCTTGAAACCACTCCCCGACTAGCCTAGTGGTCCTTTTGCCTTTATCACTTCCTTCTCAAAAGAAAACTCCTAATTTATTATTCAAATTTTCTTGCAAATTTGATTGGAAATTTAGAGAGATGATGAGAGAGAAAGGAACACAATAAATGTGAATAGTAGGGTACTATGGCTAAACTAAAAGCCAACCTACCCCACCTAAGAGCATTTTCCACAAGGTTTGTATTTGAAGTTTTGACCTTTCCAAAAGTATATTTTTTCTATTTTACTACTTATTTTTCATTCCAATAGATTTTTTTATATTTTAACTATTTTTTTAAAATATTATTTCACATATTTTGTACATTCGTTGGAATTATTGGAGGGAGAGAGAGAATGGAGAGAAAGACAAAGAGTGGACAAGAGAGATGAAAAATAATAATAGGACAGAGAAAAAATTATAAAATATTTATACAAGTTACTACAGTAATGCTTTATATCTAAAGTATCACTATAGCAAAAATTTATTTTAAAACATCTGAATATATTCTGTTGAAACATGATTTTTATTTTTGATTAGTTAAATTTTAATTATTTGATAGTTTTATATATTGCATTGAAGATGCTCTAAGGAATTAAAGCCCACTCCTAGCCATCAAAACTCTCCCCCACTATTTCAGCCATCTAGACTAGGGGGTCTTATCCCCAACATTCGTTATCCCCTCTCCAATGCCATCCTCAATAGCCTTAGCTTTGTGTAGATTGCCCACAACTATTTTTAATCCCCTGTTTAGTTATCTCAGTAGTAATTGAGTTTTACCAATTATCAATTAAATATTAGCAGTGAGTACAAAATTTACTACTGCATTCTAATTCCTTATAACTTGTTTCTCTCTCCATTCATCATTCCATGTTTATTAGAATCAAAGGAAATTTCTCAGCCTTTTTACATTTGAAGCACTTCCTCCTATTTATATGAAACCAAAGCTTTTCCAGCTTTATTTTCTTCACTCTTTCTTCGTCTTCTCTTCCTTTTCTATTTCTTTTTTTTCACCCGATACTAAATAGAGGTTGACTCAGTTATAGCTGGTACAACAAACTCATAAAATAAAGAATTGAGAGTGTTGGGTATGAATTTTTTTTTTATATACATATTTGTTTCTTACCAAACGAACTTGCACACAAAAATAGAAAAAAAATTCAAACTCTCAAACGATCTTTCAAGTTTTTCAATTTCTTTTAAACTAATATAAAAAAACATTGCATTTTTTTACCCTTGTTAATGCTAGTTCACTCGTGCTTGAGAACATATAAATTCAACAATGATAGATTAACAAATTTTCTTCTAAGTTGGTGTTTATACAATCAAATAAGAACTATAAAATAATAAAAATAAATAAATAAATACATATCAAGTTCACAAATGTACTCTCAAATAACAAACTCCTACTTTTGGTGAATTTATTTATGATAGAAAACCTAAAAAAGAAACAAACAAATTAAAGGTGAAAAAAAGAAGAGTAAAAGTAGGAAGAAGTTGACTCATTGGTGAGTGGTGAGCCACTTCTTATGTCCTTCTCCTTCCAAAATTCCCCAAACTCACTCCAACAACCGAAGATCACTGATTGTGAACAGCAAGAAGAACACCAGCAATCTCACATACCCAAATTACCCTCATCCTCATTCCTAATTCACCTAAATGCCACGACTCGCCGGTCTGATCTCCGACCGCCACTCGTCGGCTCCTCTATCAGACTACTACTCCAAGTCTGAAAAGAACAAAAGACCCATCTCTCTCCCTCCCCACCCTCGCTTTCCTCTACCAATTATCGTCTTTTCTACGCTCTGCTTCCTCATCGGCGTCGCCGGAGTGATTTTCTCTCTCTTTACTGTCCTTCGACACAAACCCATCCCAATCTTCCGCTGTGGCCGTACGGAAGACACTTTCCGAGCATTCTACTCACTACCGAGCACTCGGCGTCTCCGTGGCGGCGACACTGGGACTGGTGGTGGTGTCGTTGATCGGCCGAAGCTTCTTGGGTTCGTCGGAATTCAGACTGGGTTTTCGTCTAATGATCGCCGAGCGGCGTTGAGGAGTACTTGGTTTCCCTCTGATCCTGAGGGTCTTCTCGGGTAACGACCCACCCAATTATTATCAATCCAGTGACTGAAACTTACTTAAGAGTGTCACTAATTTTCATACCCAACAAAAATTTAGGAAAAACTTTGAATCTTTATATCGATGTTCACTTTTGAAGAAAATATTGGTTTTTGGGTGTCTGAAAGTTGAGGAATTTGAGTCAGGCAACTAGTTTTATTGATATGAATTGAGTGCAAGTTTATTTTTTTCCCCAATATTTGTTGGTTTTCATATACTGGTAGTGCTTTTTCATCTCATCACCACCTGATCCAGGTTGGAGCAAGCTACAGGTTTAGCTTTTAGATTTGTAATTGGAAGATCAAAAGATGCAAAGAAGATGGCAGAGCTTGAGAGGGAGATTGAGAAGTACAAAGATTTTATGATTATAGACGTTGAGGAACAATATCTGAAGCTGCCATACAAAACGTAAGTTTTGAGTGCTTGAATTCATTTTATTGTGAAGATCAAAAATGAAAAATCATTTTATTATGATATATAACTGACAATTTATATCTTGGTGGGTTTTCCTCCCTCTTTCTAGGTTGGCATTTTTCAAAGCTGCCTTTGAGCTATTTGAAGCAGATTATTATGTTAAAGCTGATGATGACATTTATTTGCGCCCTGGTATTTTTTGTTAAATTTGCATAAATGTGTTGGTAGCGTCGAGCAGTTTGAAACGAATTATAGCACTCACTTGTCAAATTTTCAGATCGACTAGCAACTCTTCTGGCCAAGGAGAGAACCCATTCACTGACTTACATTGGATGCATGAAGAAAGGACCCGTGATTACTGACCCCAAACTGAAATGGTAATTGTTGTTACAATTTTGCACTGCAAAACGGTTACTTCGCAATGCACCCATCTAATTTCATGGAAAATTGAGCCTTTATCTATAAAACAATCTATTGAATGTATTTTTTTATTATTCAAAACATTTCAGGTTTGAGAAATCAGGACATCTAATTGGAAGTGAATACTTCTTGCATGCTTATGGTCCTATCTATGTTCTTTCTGCAGAAGTTGTAGCATCGTTGGCAATTGCTAGAAATAACAGGTTTGTCATTGTACTGATTTATAGTTTATGCAGAGTTTATGTTTTTTAATGGTGATATGCTATTAACTTTCACTTTCTTTTCTGAACTAAATCGGTCTCTTTGATATGTACTTTACTGTACAAATCAAAGTATTATATGGTCCATTGATTACTCTTCCTTAGTGGTGATGACGTGATGTACTCTTATTACTTTTAGAGTGACAGTAGGTTTCTGCTAAATGAAGGCTTCCTTTTATTCTTTTTGGCTAGCCTTTGAAGGTTTCCTTTTGATGCACTGATTTGTGCAGTTAGAATTATTGAGACTGAATGCTTACTATCGCCAATCGGAGAGGGAAGACTGTCCACATTGATGACCATAAGTTCTTTTCAAATTCTGGACAATGCCAATATATCTTAATTTGAACAATCATGAGCAAGTGAGAACTATAGGAAAAAAATCTTAAGTGATGGAATCCAAATATCAGGCCTATAAAACAAATCTGCAGATGCAATTGCTTTATTTGGTATTTTGTTGAACCATTTATTGGTTGAATCATCTATGCTAAATGCTAAGTTGTTGAAGTACATTTGAATTGAATGCTGTATGGAAAAAAGGAAATCCTTTCGTTGAAATACCTTGTAAATCCCATGGGGATGCTAGATGACAGTGTTTTTTTTCTCACTTGTCGGTTGAAGCTTATTCTCATCCCCTTCCTACCTCTTTTGATATTTTAAACTTTTATATTTTCACTTCCTAAAAAGAGCATTATTAGGTGACTTTTGATGGTTAGTCCCTATAATTTAGCTCTCTCGTGCATGCCGAGTATGTTCATTAGTATAACTTGTAGATCCAAATGCCACTAGCTTCTACTCTTGCATAATTTTTTGACCTGAAATTTCCTTCTCATAATTATGTTCTTGTCATGCTTTCGAGGTGATTCTTTCTGTTAGTTTTTTGTTTTCTCCAGTTATTTTTCACTAAATAGATGTAGTTTATGGCTTTCAGTTTGAGAATGTTTAGCAATGAAGATGTCACCATTGGATCATGGATGCTAGCTATGAATGTCCATCATGAGGATAACCGAGCAATATGTGATCCTCGATGCACACCCACATCTATAGCAGTTTGGGACATCCCAAAGTGTTCAGGTAAAACTGATAATGAAATGGCCTGCGGTTAATTGATGTCACCGAGTTTGGTATCATATAAATGTTTCCGTGTAGAAACCTGGAATTCTGCTTAAAGTAATTGACGTTTTGTATGGCACATGGAGGTGTTCATTCTAAAGTAACAGCGGCTGTTGCTTTATCAGCTGTTTGCCTAATTGTGTTGAAAATCTTACCTTAGGACTCCGGACAATTCTATTGATTATCCCTCTCAAGCAAGCCACGGTCTGCACATTGATCTGCATTGCTTAGTGAGAGTGGGCTTCCAGTCTTGCTTGGGTTGTGCTGTTCCTGTTATATTGCTATTTTCCCTAGCGGGGTTTTGGATGGAATCATGGTATCCCTGTTGCATGCTTGAAACTATCCATTCTTTTCAAAAACTTAATCAGTAGACCTTCCTGGTTTATTATGCATGTTGATCGATATGGAAAGCATAGAAATGAAGATAAGCTACAGTACCATTGTGATGTGTTCCCTTTCTCATCAGAATTATTTGATTATTCGTTGGCAACTTGGCATAATTTTAGTGGCTTTGCAGAAAGGATTTCATATGTTGGTCGTGTGGTTATTCCTCTGGTTTGATCGTAGTGGAGGGGTTAGAAAATTTTATCTAAACAAAAGTGCAGTGGGATTTTAAAGCCTCCTGTCAAATATGTGCACAGTGTGCATGCTGGACGTGATATGTCATTCTATAGGATGTGTTCAACATATATTTAGAATAATCAGAGACAATAGGAAGAGACAGATTCTTAGTTCATCGTGACTTCTGCAAGATATATTCCTATTTTACTGTGATTGTAATATATGGATTCATCAAATTTATGGACCTTGAATTTGTACGGTATGCTCTTAAATCTCAGGTTGCTAACCTTTCATTTTTTTGTCATATGCGGCTCTAGTAACCATGTAATTCAAAAAGAAACTGTCTTAATGCTGGTAAGAATATTTTTTCCTTGATAAGAAACAAATTTTCATTGATTGTTAAAACTTTATATTCTCTGAGTAAAGGTGGACAAGTAGTCCAACCCTATTACATTCAAAAACAGAAATCAGTAGAATATTCTCCGACAAAGTGAACAATCTTTCACACGATGCCATTCAATTCGATGTAATGCTGGTAAGAAATTGTGTATTGTAGTTTTGCTTTTGCATGTTTGTTGATTTCCAGACATTTGTTAAAGAGGATTTTTTTTTTTTTAATTCCATTTCCCTGTCTGTCACTTCAACAGGGTTAGGTTGTGTAATGAGTACATGTCTTGGAGGACTAAATTTAAAATAATGACAAATAACAAGATATTTCATTATTTGTGAGAACATTTATTTACTCACTTCCACGGTCAATATTTGACTCTGTAAATTCAACCCTGCATTTTTACCATGTCTTACGATCTCCAACCTCTAAAATGCCAATATTATTTTGGGTTTTGAAATGATGAGATGCTTGTTTTGGAATGCTCTCTAAGAAGAGATTGGGTGAAAATTTTCAGGTTTATGCAACCCAGCTACTAAAATGAAGGAGCTTCACAAGATCAGTATGTGTTCCAAAAGTCCGACATTGCCCCCTGATGATCGGTAATATATGTTGGCATAAGTTGCTCTGCATATGTGCACTGATTTTTTGGTAGACGGCTTGTTGGCGAAAGAGCAATTGGGTTTTGAAGGGTACACGCAGAAGAGGTACCTTTTTTTTGATGCATCAATTTGAATTTGGCTGTACAGTGTTAGTATTCCAGTTAAGCATTGTTTGCTTGTAAGCCTTTTAGTCAGGAGACACTTCTTTTTACAGAAAATAAAAAAAAAACAAAATGATGTCATTGAATTTGTAAAATATAGTATAATAAGAATATATAGAAAATACTCCACTGGTCCGTCGTCTGGAAAAGAATGTCTGAGAACTTAACTAATGGAAGATCAGTTTTATAGTACTGATTATTTAAGGAGAAATGTAGAAGTTTTGTACATATGAGATTACTCTATGTTGTGGATTTTATCATAATAAACATGTCTATATTTTTATAGTTTTGTATTTGAGATCTGGTATTTCCAACAAAGATGTGTGATCATGCTTCGATTTCTTCATAACAACAACATGTCAACTTGTTAATCATCACTCGTTCTCTGTATCCGTTATAATGTACAACAGTAGGCTTTCAGTAGCGAATAACCAATCGGGTGCTTGTTTATTTGCTGGCAAGACTTTTATTTCATGCTTCGGTCCATCTGATCCCTGCTCTGTTTCAGATAATCAGAAAAATGCTGAAACTAACTAAACACCACTGAGGAGCCTCATGGGGTACCCTTTTTTCTACTCTTATCGTCAACTTTCTGCTTATCCGAGTTCTGTTTTTTGTGCCTACAATCTGTACGGTACTAGTAAAAGAAACTTGGATTGTTTGAGTGGTTAATTGAGGAGTTAGTCACTCCCCAGGTAAGATTTAGGGTCTGGTATCACCAGGCACACAATGTTTCTCTTCCCTCTTCTAGTAGGTAGATCTATGCCAGCATAGAGAGAGAGAGAAAGGTGCGAGCAGAGAAAGGGAGACGATAGGGAGGGTCTTGTTTGGCAATAAATGTTAGGTTGTCTTTAACATGGATGTGGATTGTTTGGCAACAAATTGACTTTGGACATAATCTATGTACGGGCAATATTGGAATTCTAAAAAAATAAATTGCTTACATCAGTAAATTTTTGACGTCTCTCTAACGGTACACTAGGAGAATGTGTTACAGACAGTCAAACAAAAAAGGAGTGCAGTGTTATTTCTCAAATAAGAGGGGGTCTCGTTGTTATTTGACCAAATCTCAGAGGAGGTGGATATAATTTACCTAATTTTTTTTTACGCTTCTTGTGGAACTGTTGTGTTTTATCTCTCTCTCTGTGCCCAACATTGACATGATCTCCCCAATCTATAAGAAATCTTACTGTTCAAAGAATCGAATGCTTTCAACTAAGCAGCTCGTTAACACGTGCTCTCGTGTACACAGACGAAAATGCAATGGATGAATAGGTACCCTAAACATTGTCTTTGATTACACCTTCATTGAGAAATCTGGAGTTCTCAATGAATCAAATGGTTTGGACTAAGCAACTGTTTCATCTACACTAACAACTCGTACCCCTTTATTGGCCACAAAACTTATATGTGTATATATATATATATATAGAGAGAGAGAGATGGGAGCTTTGTCATCTAGGTCGAAGGGCATGGTCCTCCCTGTTAAGGAAGCAATATTATGAAAAGCACAATTGTAACGTTCAGACAATTCTGTCATAGTATGTCTACTTCGTACCAAGGCATATGTAGTTCTAATGAGTGACTCACAATGGGCACACGTTGCCTGTGTTTGACTGTAAAATTTTATTATGAAACCTCACAATCAGCAATACATGTAAGATTTTAATGATGTGTATGTGTCTGTGTGTATATATCCTAGTTTGCGGTCAACTAGCATTTTGCAAATTATAACAGCCATTTGCAGATGCACTTATTTTGTGGATGGGTTTTAGGCTTTAATGAGAGATTTTTCTAATTGCCTATATTGAACAGAATTCAAGTATGCGAAATGTTTTTTTTTCTTTACCTTCCAGAAATAAATTTTTTTTACGAGACACATATGGAACTCAAAAACCTCTCGAGTTGGATGTAATCTTTCCAACTTAAACTATAGAAATTTTTTTTAAAAAAAATTATAAATTAGACACTAGGAGATTTGTTGCAACAAGAAAATTGTTTCATTGTAATCTGAATGCTATATGTCCGAAATAAAAATAATTTGTTCAAAATATAAGATAAGGTTGTGTGTGTACTTATGACCATCCTCATATTTATAGCCGCTCTAGTGATTGTAAGCTCAAGTTCTTCTAGCGAACGACATTATACAAGCGGATTATTATTATTATTATTATTATTCAATTGGAAACAGTTTGATTTAATTTAGTCATTTAATCCCTTGTCATTCTTGGAGACGTGTGCCTATAAATGGGTTATATGAATAGATTACTTTGAGATAGAGATTCTGGCATACTATTTTGACCCACAGTTTTTGAGATTCATTCTCTTGGTTTGATGACCCTCCTTTTTTATCCATGTACTGGACAATTGTTTATAGTTTTATCTTTGTTCGTAGAGAAACTGTCTCTACAATTATGAATGATTTGTTTTACAACAACGTGATGTTTTCATTGTCCGCATGTCTGTTCAATTTGTAGAGAGGGCAATTTAGTGCACGGGGGTCTCAAATCTAAATCATTGTGGGATTTTGAATGATTAACTGTACGCAGTTTATCTTCGAATGCGCAAAGAAACTGTGTTTTATGACCGGTGCCTCGTTAACTGTATTAAAATAATTTTGCATTAAGATCGACTTTCACCCTATATAGAATTCACGCACAAGTTGAAGATGCATCGACAGTTAAAACCCAACGGTCTACAGGGAGTTGACCATGGTACCCAAAAAAAAAAAAATAGTACCATACATCTATTTATCATATTTGCGGTTATTTTTATTATATTTATAAGTGTTTTTATCACTATTATAATACCCATAAAAATAATTATCACAATAGTGCTAAAAACATTCACAAATGTGATAAAAATAACTACAAATGTAATAAAAATTGCCACCACAAATATTATAAAAATACACATAATAGTGATATAAATAATTACAAAAGTTGTAAATTATACGCAAAAGTGGTAATTTTTTTGGTTGTAAAATGACCTACAAAAATTATAAAAATATCATTTAAATTAATAAATTTTGGAGATAAAATATCGATATTTTTTTTTTAATATTATAGTCAAATCGAGTCTACAGGTATAGTGATCACCCACCGAGTGAATACTACTGTTCTGTGTACTCATGTAGCATGGTATAACTTCGGAACAATAAATAGTTCTTTGGAGCAACGAAAGGGGATTTTAGGGGATTGTGCAGAGATAAGGAGAGGCGGGTATTATAGCTTTGCATGAGACCATCTCTTCTCTCCTTTAGTATAAGCCAAAATGCCTCAAATGCTTGTGCAGGCACGGACCACAGACTCTGACATCTCTTTTTTGGACCCACTGCTTTACCGTAAAATTATACGTTTTGAATTTAAATTTTAATAATCACATAAATCCGATTTTAAATAATGTGAGTAATTTACGGGTTTTTCGGTGCATCAAATTTATGTTCTGACCAAGAATTGAGAGAATTTCCCACTATATGAAAAAAAAAAAAAACTCTCTTTGCTTTGTGCTTGTTTCAGTTTTTATGTCAAATTGATATGTTTTTCCTTCTTTTCTTATCAATTAAACAAGATGAAGCAAGGCTTTCTGAGATCCAAATTGAACAATGTAACTTTGCTGTCTTAAATTGTGATATGTTGCAGTAGTACTTTCCCAAATATAGTGTATATTTTAGAATACTTACTTTTAGTTCTTTCTTGGTTTGCTCCTCTAAGGCTAAGGGGGTATTTGGTTTGCTGGATAAAGGAGGATTACATGATTGGATTGGGTTAAAATATTCCGGAGCCCCACAAATTCTTGATTTGGTTACCAAAAAATTGGTAGGATAAACGATAGGTTCAATTCATTGGACCGTAGGGAAATCACGCGTTTATCCCTTCTAAAGTGGATACTGATAACATTAGGTGATGTGGGATAAAATTTCTCACAATAGGATATAACCCTTTTTCACATGGCACGAAATTCTCCCATTTCAACTGTGATGAGATTGACTTCAAAATCTAATCCAACCCAATCCATTAGTGCATATCCAACACACTAGGGCTGTTTGGTAAGGGAGTTGGGGAGGGGGGGGGGGGGGGGGGGGGGGGGCTAACAGCCCTAGCAAGATGGGTTTGGGAAAAATAGTCCAACGGACTTCCAAATCTCATGTTTGTATGAAAAATTTAGTCTTAGGTTTTCAATTTCGGCTCATAGTTGGCTCAAAAATTAAACTCAGGATCATGAGTTTTGTCAAACTTAAAGAAGGGGTGGGTTTAGGAAGATGAGTAAGGGATTAAGGATTCAAAAGACAACTCTAACGCTTAACATGAATATGAATTTGATTGATCAAGGGTAAAATAGTTATTTATATGACATATAGTTGTTAATAATTATGATATATTCGTGAATCCTACATGTGTATGTGTTGCATGTCAAATATGAGTATGACCTGAATTGAATGTTGAATTTCATCTTTGTAAAGAGGGGTTTGGATTTGGAAGAGTTTGGAGAACTCAATCCAAACCCCTCTCCAAAATTCATCCAAACAAGCTATCAGAGAACTTGAATTTTTTCATTCAATACTTAGATTTGAGTCTCCATAATTACAGCAGCTCGTTAGGACTAAATCTACTCTTCAGTGCCTAGAGCATGTGGTGAGACTTTAGTTTCCTCCGTGACGTAAGTGTTGAGAGAAAATATTCTCTAATAGACATGTGTGGAGTGACCTATCTATATATTCATTTATAGTATCGCAGTTATACCCTACTAAATGGGTACACAAAGCAATAGTATTCACTCATTTGGTACCATCAACTAGATATCCCGACCTTAGCTTTGGCCCCAATTTTTTTTTGGTTCAACTGTTCAGGGTGCCTGGATTAGAACTTAAATGCACCTCGACTAATCCCCTCTCCGTTCCAATCATAGGCCTAGAGTATTTATTAGAGATAAATTCTCTCATGGCCTGGTCTTAAGGAATTACCAATATTCAAACTTAAGACATCTTGATTTATAACTCGTCCTTAATACCATTAGGACATCTAATCCATTGCACTCAAAGAAATGAATGTATTGAGGTTCCTGATGAATGATTGTAGGGTCAAATGAGAAGCAAGTGATGTAGGGAATATCAACATTAATGCTCCAAGACCACAATGCATACACTAATTCTTTAGTCTTATAGTATCTGAATTGCTATGTATATGAGTGGTGAAAATTTATGCAGATAGAAATTTGTCATGTACTGAGGTCGAGTAGTAGCATTCTACACGTCCTTTTGGTTTGTCCTTTTACCTCGTATGTTTGGGCGACATGAAGTCACGTGAATGCTTTTGGGACCTTTCTTTGCCTTGCTCGTAAATGAGGTGAGATCATTTTTAATACATATTCTCTTCAATTTTATTCTTGATGGATCACCTACTATATATGCATTCAAATCGAACTCATATTCACTTATTAATGACAGATGATCCGATACAATAATCTAATTGACTAATTATTAGATCCTTTTTGCCAAGATATTCATCCCCTATATATCAAACAGTTTCCTTCAAATTTGCTGGATTCCAGCTACATCAATACTCTCTCTCCTCTCTCTCTCTCTCTCTCTCTCTCCATGACAGCATGACTCCAGTTTATCTGAACCCATCACCCTCATCTTTTCCTTTTGTTGAGCTTGGGGAAGATCAACACCTTGAACAGTTAACCACACCACAGCAAGCTTCATCTCCTCTCACATGTCCCCTTTTCTTCAACTCTCAAGATCAAAGAGGCAGTCACCCCGCTGAGTCCAAACAAAAACAACAAAAGGTAATAGCCTAAGATTATATGATCTAACTCAAAAGTTTGTCTTTGTTTTCATTTTCTTTGCTCTCTTTATTTCTTGCTTGGCTCTTGATTTTCTTTCATGGTCATATGAATAATATCTATGTAGATTTTGCTTGATCTTATCCAGAGAGTTATTTTATTTGCATGATCTCTTTCTTCACTTGCTATAGCTAAATTTTCTGGTTAAGATTAGGGTACTATTTTAGTAATATACGGAAATCTACATGTAAATAAGAGTCGTTAGAACTCGTTTTGAGATAAATCTACGAATCAAGAAGATCGATGGCTAAAAAAATATTAGGGTCTGTCCTAAAATGTTATTTTTGATACGAATATTGAAGTAATTTTTTATAATGTATCGAAAAGTATCTAGTACCGTAATCTTACCCAGATTTTCTTATGGACAACAAGTGACTCCTGCATCTATTTCGTGATCTTAGGTTGATAGGTATATTTTGCATAGTGGATCAAGTGATCAACAAGTGATCTCATTTTCTTCGGTTAAGCTTGCCCAGGAGGATAGTAATGGCGACCATAAATTTTCGGGTTTCAAGAGAGAAGTTGGAGATGAAAGAAAGAACGGTGAAGGATCAATGAAGTGGATGTCTTCAAAGATGAGGTTGATGCGGAAAATGATGAACTCCAATTATTCAGGGACTGATAAACCAGTGAAAGTTGTGGAGAAGTTCAATCAGGACAATAGTGAAACCATGTATGCTTACAATAGCAATAAGGACAATGTTAGAGTTTGTTCTGATTGTAACACAACCAAGACTCCTCTTTGGAGGAGTGGCCCCCAAGGTCCCAAGGTTATTTCTCTCAACTCTCTCTCTCCCCCCTCTAAACTCTTCGAACTGTTCATGAGCAGCTCCAAATCGATTCAGATAAGACTGTGTTAGAGTTTATTCATTTATCAAACGAAAGAGTTCAAACTCAATTTCAAAGTTCATATTAGGTAAGTGAATTGACCGTGAGTAATGGCTTATTAGGCTCCTTAAACTAGTCCACACATATATAGATATCGTAATTAAATAGAGTATAATATAGTATATATGTATAAAACACAGATATCTATCAACAAATCAATCTTTATCTTGAACACACGAAATTGAACTTGAGTTTAAAGTTTGTTTAATCAAATGAGTAGAGTTGAGTCGAAGCAGAGCTTGTACAAAAATTAGGCGAGTCCAGTTTGAACATGATAGTGAGCCTCATAGCGAGCCAAGCCAAACACTCTTCGCTAACGGATCATGAAAATCCGAATGGCCTAGTGTTTGGCTTGACTTGGTTCGGTTTGCTCATCTACACCTCTTTCTCTCTCCATTTGTGTTTGCATGTAGTAGGCACTTGTGGAAGATTTGATATCTATTACGTGCCATTATTGGTGCAGTCACTATGCAACGCCTGTGGGATTCGGCAGAGGAAGGCGAGGCAGGCATTTGCGGCACACAGCTCGGACGTCGCCAATGGTTCATCGGTGATGTCCAAGGTGAACAATAAGGAGAAAAAAACGCGTACAAGCTATGTCAAACAGCTAAAGAAGCCCTCTAAGCATCTGGGGTCTCCTCACAGAGGAAAGGAACTTAGTCTCGAGGACTTTGATAGTGCAAGTATGGGTAAGACATCAGCATTTGGACGTGTGCTTCCACAGGAAGAAGAAGAAGCTGCTATTCTTCTTATGGCACTTTCTAGTGACCTTATTAATAGTTGAAGTTTGTTGAGAGAGAGAGAGAGAGAGAGAGAGAGAGCATGTTGCAAATTTACTAGGCTATGATAAATTTCTTCCAACATTTTATAGGAATTTTTTTGAAATGAAATAATCCTATTTGAAGTTGATGTAGTGACATAATTCATTATTGCATTTCATTAAACCAGTAGTAAACTCGGTTTGAGCTCATTATACTAATCAATAGTAAGTAACAATAATAAATTAAGTTAACAAATCAAGTTGAAGCACAATTTAAGTCCTTTAATTAGGGAGTATTCAGGTGGCCTAAGTCGTTTGTCTAGACCTTCTCTCACAAAGACCGCCGCGGTTATCACCGTTTTGTATTTGTATGTATTTAAATGTGTCCCCTTCCTAAAGAAACATCAATTAATATTGTAGTTTGTCGTTTAGGAAGTTTAGTGTTATGTCAAAATATGTTAAACCGATATCTAACCGTTTTATAATTATATATAATAGAATTCATATCGATCTATTTAATTGACATTTTAATGGGTCCAACCATTTACCATCCAAGACACTAATAAAAGTAAACTCAAATCCTTGATGATTTTGTTTTGAATGTACGTTTTGTGTCTAGAATTGCTAGTATTAAACAAGAGTTTCACTCAAGTTGCATTCAAATCAAACATTTGAAAAAACTGCACTAGTGATGTAATACAACTATTACTTGCTTTTGGGCGCTTGAAGGCTGCAATTATCTTGGCCAAAAGAAGACTAGACTTGACCTTTTCAATTTTACCAGTTTGGCTATAATAGTGATAGAAAAACCATGGAAGAATAAAATTATATTGCTATTTTTTATTTTATTTTTTTGAGCAGATTGGAATGCAATAGACAGAAGCAAAAGTAGTCCATCCTTTTGCCACCTCTGAACTGGCTTTGGAACTTCACATCCTACCAGGCTTTAACCTTCAACAAAAAGACGTAACTTACTGTCCCTTGAAACAAAAGGGAGTATAAGGAAGGACGCGATGGAAAGGAAGTAGCCGAAGCCTCTCTGTCTGGCCGATCATGCCGCTTGCATCTTGCATTCATGCCCCCGTTTGACTGCCACCCGGAGATGTAGTTGTAGATTCCTACTTGTACTGCCATTTTCTACAAGCACTATGGGCTACTGCCAATTATGGCTGTAACTTTGGGGTTTTGGTCATGATCTCAAACTTCATAAAACGGGCTTGGAAGCTGCAATATCTTGGACAAAAGAGCTAACGATTGGATTTATAGATCGATGAAGATATCCAAATACTAATGAGATCGAGTCAATTATTGTCTAAAGGCCCATGGGCTGATCCACTAGCCAGTGGCCTGGTCCACCAAGTGAAAGCCCCCAATCACTGGGTCATGGACTTTTTTTGGCCCATTAGTCCAAAGCCTCTAAGACAAGAGTAAATATTGAATACAACGATGATATTACGTCACCATTGATGACATGGTATCACCTATCAATAATAAAACCCCAAATGAGGAAGGTGAACCTCAAATAAAAAAGGTGAATCTCACTTAGGCTTACATGGCAGAAGGGTAGAAAGTTATTTATTTACATGACATATTAGTTATTGATTTTTGTGGGTTCCATGTGCTTATTTGTTTAGTACTATTAGTTAGTGATACCATGTCACCTTGCCACGTGGTATCACCATTGTAATGAATATTTTTCCTGAGACAAACCGTCAATAGGCCCTTGGCTCAACTGTTACAGTCTCCGTCTTTATGCATGAATCATAAAAAAAGATATAGTGAAAATTGGGTTTGAATCCTTCTAAATGGACTTATAATTACTTGAGTCCGTCAAGAAAATTTTTTTGGTGATAAATATGTTTTTTATCTTACTAATAAGTACTTAAATCTACTATTTTTTTAAATCTCAAAAATACTCTTAACAATGTTATTATATTCAATTATAGAAACCTTAAAGATCTTAAAAATAGTTTTAAATTAATTTCTTAAATTAATTATTATCCCTTAATTTACTCATAAATTGAAATTTATATCTCTCTCTCTCTCTCTCTCTCTCGTTTGAAGAAGATCCTCTCATTCAATAACAAATACAAACCTTTACAATAACAATTTTTTTCTTCACAGTAATATCAAATTTTTATGCATAGTAATACAATGACTTTAACAAAACTCAAGAGGATATATGTTGCACAATAACATTAATGAGATATTTTTTTACACAATAACATCAATGAAATATTTTTTCATTCACAGTAACAATAATTTTTTCCTTACTTCTCACAAAATACGGTCCATAAATCGAAAAATTACATTATTTAGAGTATTAATACATAATCGTCAATTGAATTTGGATGCTCATCACCACTTGTGAATGTCAAGACATCGAATATGTAAAAATAATTTTCCTTTTCCCTCATAATAACATCAACTTTTTCCCACAAGTAACACAATCAAGCATTTTTCGATTATATTGCACAACAAAAGATTTAAAAAATTGAAACCTATATCATTTAATTTCGTAACAATGAATCACATTTTGAAATTAGGAATGCAAAAAAAATGAAAATTTTGAAAACTTAGAGGCTTCTTCCTCTCATTATGGGAATGTTACTATTTTTTTTTTTCAATTTTGTTCAATGTTCTACATTGATATTTTTTTTCTGTTGAACATGTTACTGTTTTTGATAAGTATGTTATTATTTTTGTTAAACATGTTATTATTGTTATTTTTAAAAATGTTAATATTAAATGTTATTATTTTTTGTGTTTAAATGATATTTTTTTTATTTGAATGTTATTATTTTTAATTTTATATATATATATATATATATATAAAGTAGAGCTGAATTTGAATTTTTAAGATAAAGAGAGGTGCAGATCGTTTTGAGACAAAACATAAACAATCCAACAGACAATTTAATCCCAACATAAAAGACGGTTCAAATCATTTCATAAATATTAATCTGATGGTCTACAGTGAATACTGAATTTTGTTTTCCCGCCTTATCAACGTTTCCTTTTTTTTATTATCAGTGCTTTTAACTTTCCTCAAATATCTCTTCCTCATTCCTTTATCACCACCGATCAAGCCCAATTTTCCTGACTCACGTCTCTCTCTCTCTCCTCTCTGAAACTCCTGCCTTCCAAACTCATCCCCAAAATCTCTCTCATAGAATCTATCTCAATCTCACTTATGGCTCTCTATGTGCTATATCAAATCTTTTGCCAATCTCAATTCTGAATCCCCTATCTCTCACGCCCAGCTCTCCACCACCAAACGACTGCCACTACCACCCACTACTCTTTCTCACACCCAGTTCTCTCTTACATCCAGAGCTCCATCGCTGCCCTCTTCTGCCAAACGACGGCCACCACCATCGCCACCCACTGCTTAACACCCAGAAGTTGTCCAGTATCTCAGTTTTTTTTCTATTTTTCTCATCCTCTTTACATCGCTACTCATCTCTCACTTTGTTTGTCTGTCTCTCTACTTTTTTCTCTCTTCGCTGACTGCATAGGACATACACAACGGACAACACACTCAGGACATACACACTACAGAGAATTGGCAAACTTTTCTCCAATTGATTTGCAATTGGTTCAGAACTTTTGAACTTCTCTCAAGGTATCAGTCTTCTATCAAATCTTAACTTGCTTTTTTGATGAGTTTTTAATCTCCCAAATCTCTGTAGTTTGCCGCAGTGAAACACCCAGTCGCTACTCATCCAACATCGTTGCCCAGGTACACATCTGTCGCTGCTCCTATCTCCCTCTCTCTCTCTGAACACTCACATCGCACAGTGCCCATAAGGTGTTCGATCAAATGCCACAAAGGTGTTCCACACACAGAGCAATCATATTGTCTGCGAACACACAAAATTGATTTGTGCTTAAAGGTTGAATTCTTTTTTATGATGCTAATATTTTGCTTAAAACTTCGATTTTCTTTTTAACTTTGCTTTCGTGTGTTGCTTTTTGTGCAGGTGTTACCCACCACGCAAACATAGAACACACGCAAAGGATGTTCGTTAGGATTTTTTGCTGGACACATATAAACATAGAACACATGCACAGTGTGTGGGCAGGCGTCTCATATAAGGTTTATGTCGTTCAATTATAAATTATGATAGTTGGGAAGCACTCCATAATTTTCTTAGGAGAAAAAGAACTAGCACCATCATTTAAGATTTCTAATTTGCTTTATTTTTTTGATCGCTTCAAGTACCAACAATATAAATGCAGAGATTTGCACAAGAACTTGGAGTAGGTGCACATGCACTTAGGTAATATATTACTCCAAGGGTAAAAAAGTGTTGTGATTTATTTTTTGAGTTTTAGAGTATGAGGTACTAAATGCTTCAAATAGTTTCATTGTAATAATTAATCTATAATTCGACATGTTATTTTTTTTAACCATATGTGTTCTCTAGAATTCAATGTGTGCTTTAAACCATATGAATCAAAACCTACTGCCAAGATGTTGTGATGTTCTATTTGTTTTGTTGATGTACTATTTGTCAAGTCCTCCTGTGTACAGTGGGTTGATTTAGTTGCTTAAATATGTGTTTTAACTCAAATGGCTATAGATATGTTGGGAATTGGTTCAAATAGCTAAAATTTATTCAAATTAGATTTCGGATATATGCATTGAGCCTAACTCTTATTAATAAGAAAGGTTTTGTTGTTGCATAAAAATATAAGTGATACTAAGCAATTGAATTTGTGTGTGTGTTGTAGTGCAAATAGAAAGGTATACACAATTCTCCCATCTTCAATTCCACATCCAAAATTGATAATATGTTAAAAGTTATATTTTCCTCTCATGTTGTTCTTTTTCTTTTCTTTTTTTTGTTATTTCACATTGCTTTTATAATATATCAGGTATAGGTGAATAGCTTGGATTGAAACAACTCTTAAATACAACCAAGTGAAAATATTGCCTTTTGGAGTTGTTGAAGCAATCTTTCAGCCAGGTAAAAATTCATTTCTTTGCATGATATTTTTAATAATTTTCAGTAAATGAGAAGTGAAAACACGTTATATTTTAATGA